GTTATACCAGTGATGGCGAACCTTTTGAGCTCGGCGTGTCAGCATTTTGAAAAACCCTAACTTAACTCTGGTGCCGTGTCACATATAGAAATTTTTTGATATTTGCAACCATAGTAAAACAAAGATTTACATTTTTGATATTTATTTTATATATTTAAATGCCATTTAAAAAAAAATCAACCAAAAAAATGAGTTCGCATGTCACCTCTGACACACGTGTCATAGGTTTGCCATCACTGCCCTTTTGTATACCTTAACTAAAATTTTTCTATCTACCCCTGTTCTTCATCACAGTATCTATAAATTTCATTCTTAATCAGCTGAAATGTCCATACTTATCCTACGTTACTCCATATTCCTTTGTTAATTTCCCCTGGCCTGGTCCTTCCCTGTCTACACCTTAAGCTGTTCTCCAAAATGACATATTTCAAGTTAGGTACCCTTACCTCCTCTGACCTCAACCTACTTCCACTGTCTCCTGTTCTCTGTGATAAGGTATTCTATGTGCGCCAAACCAAGTAATGAATCCATGTTGCTACATTTACCTGGCTTCATCTCACCTGTTGCTACATTTACCTGGCTTCATCTCAACTTCACATAGTTTATAGTTGGTAACCTGGCTTAACCCTGCCCTCATTGGTACTTACACTTACTTGTGCCTCAAAGACATTTAGTTCAGGCTTCCAGTCTTACCTGTCATTTCCCTCAATTGTCTCTCGTACTTATTTCCTAAGGTAACAGATTCTCTCTTTGCTGTCCTCATTCTCCCTCACCCTCTCAGTGTGCACCCTGCCCTCACAGTTTTCTTTCATGAAAACATGGAACACAACTCTTCACAAACCAGCTCTCCACGTCATATCATTTATTTGCTTCCCTTCCCTGCCTCCTCTCAGGGGTCCCATGTGTTAGCCTTACCTGTCCCTACCCTAACTGGTTCCCAGTCACATGGAGATTCCTTTCCACTTTACTTTGGCTCTTCTGTTTCCCAGCGTGGCTGCACCTCCCATCCCCTTGCTCACCTTTTTGGGAGGTGGGATCTACACATCACTCACTTCTCTGTCCAGGCCCACTTCCATGGACATACATATATATATATATAATTCTATGTATAACTTTCCTCATCTCTCTCTGGCCCACCCTTAACCTCCTGAGCACGCACTTTTTCAAGCCTCGGTGCAATTCTGCCCTCTCCCCCACTAATCCCTTGGCCCTGCTCCCACTTCCCTGAGGCGGCCCCTCACCTGTGCCCTCAGGCAGGGTCAGCACGCTCTGGCCCTGCACCCAGCGGTAGCAGGGGAAGGCGGCCTCCTCTAAGTCTCCTGGGCCCTTCACGGTGATGCGGTCACAGAACCAGGCGTCGTCCACCAGGGAGTGGTGTTTGCGCAACTTCACGAACTGCAGTGGCCCCAAGTCCTGGGGAACGTCCTGTTCAAACTCCTCCACCTGTGGGGACAGAACCTGGTGAGACTTAGTAGCGGGGACCCGGGAGAGGACGTTTAACTGAGGGTGCGGGGTCCTCTGCGGAGTCTGGTGACAAGGCCTCCAGGGACAGCATTGCCTCCTCCCAACACCTGTGGTGCCTGTGGGTCTCAGACGCCCATCTCACCAGAAAGAGGAGGGATGCGGGCGAGGCCCACAGTGTCTTGAATTGAACACTGAGCACCATCACCTACCCTGTCCATTAACTGAGCTCTCACCGCGCCCGCGCTCTCAGAGGTCCTTCACCTTGACCATTGATCCCATAGGAACACTGGCCTGGGGTCAATGGGAGAAAAGTAGTGGAGGATGTGAGGACCACGGTGGGGCCGAGGGGAGAGGGGGGAAAGGGGTTGAACCCAGCCAGGGCCCTGGCTCTGAACCTGTCACCCACAGAGGTGCAGGCATCCCTTCTCACTGGAAGGCCCAGCTGGGGAAGCTGCATTGTCATTGGCTCCCAGCCTCCCTCGTCCCGCCCGCCCTCACTCAGCCAGCCCAGTCAGGGGGTCTGAGTCCCCGCTTCCCCCGCCCACCTGGCCCCGCGTTGACCGCAGCTGCAGCTCCAGCTCCGCCTCCCCGCGCTCCCCGACCAGCCACAGCTGCAAGGGGCTGAATGACCCAGAGAAGAGCCAGGCCCCGGTGGCCACGTGGATGCGGTAGCGGCCCATGGCAGCAGGTGGGCTCGCCTGGGTGGCAGAGGTTCTGTTACTGGTACCAGACAAAGATTCTGCGGCCAGGCTTCGTCCTGCTGCCTCAGGACAAGTCCAGGGCTTAATAAAGCAGCACTGTGTGTGACACCTCACTACAGGATTGGGCCCCACCCCAGCAAACCTGAACCTGGGATTAGCCCAGAGGGTGGGAGAAAGGCGGCTGCTCCTCTCAGCGCAGTGCTAAGAAGTGGGCTTGGAGGAAGATGAGGGGCTAAGCCTGGGTGAGGGCAAGAGATGGAGAGGGGAAGGGCGCATACACCCAAGTTTTTTTTCTAGGTCCTCATCCCCCCTTCTCTCTACACGGCGGTGGGGGGGGGGGCAGTTTTACTACTAAACAGTTTCTGAAGGGGCCCTCATCTTGCTGGCAGTGCTTGATGTCCTTGGGCCATTGTACCCACTTTCTCTTCACCTATGAGGGCTGCTTGCTAAAGGAGCACTGGGATGATCATTGTGGGCCATATAAGGCCCTTCTTCTTCTTTAAAAAATTTTTTAAAAAATGTTTTTTACTTTTTAAATTTATTTATTTTTGTTTATCCTCACTTGGGGATATTTTTCCTTTGATTTCTAGAGAGAGTGGAAGGGAGGGAGAGAGACATACACAGAGAGAAACATCTATGTGAGAGAAACACATTGGTTGCCTCCCACAGGCACCCGGACTGGGACCTGGCTAGAGCCTGCAATGGAGATAGGTGCCCTTGATGGGAATTGAACCAGGGTCCCTTCAGTCCGAGGGCTGACGCTCTATCCACTGAGCAAACTGGCTAGGGGTAAATATACTTTCTGTTGATTTCAGAGAGAGGAAGGGAGAGGGAGAGGGAGATAGAAACATCAGTGAT